TCCCCCCTCCCTCCAAACCCTAAACCCTAAACCCTAAACCCTAAACCCTTAACCATGCCTCACTTTGTCCCTGTCTACGACCCCGAGAGACCCAAGCATGAGCAAGAAGGAGATGCTTCTCTCTATAAACATCGTAGGTGGGAGCAGCCGCATGCGCTGCTGCCGAGTGCACCTGGGGGCCCCCCTAGGGGCCCTAAAGATCATGAAAACCCTCAACCAATACGAAGGAAGTAAACCCTAAACCCTAAACCCTAAACCCTAAACCCTAAGCCCTAAGGGGCTCATAGATTATAAAGACACGCATTTGTTATACGAAGGAAGCAGCATTCTTAAACCCTAAACCCTAAACACTACACATTCATCTACCTGCTACTACCTTCCCTCCTTATTAGGGTTTAGGGTTTAGGGTTTAGGGTTTACAGTCTATGACAGCTTTCTTGAAGGCAAGGAAGCCTTTTAATGGTTTAGGGTTTAGGGTTTAGAGTTTAGAGTTTACAGCCTATGAGAGCGTTCTTGAAGTGAAGGAAGCCTTTTAGTGGTTTAGGGTTTAGGGTTTAGGGTTTAGAGTTTAGGGTTTAGGGTTTAGGGTTTGAGTTGCAGGCGTCCTGGTTCAATGGTATTGAATGAAAAGGGTTTGTGGGTCCCGGCGCCGAGGGAGGGGCCCCCGGGGGCCCCCAAGCAGCAGCAGGGAGACCACCGCAGCAGCAGCAGCAGCAGCAGCAGCAGCAGCAGCAGGAGGGATCGCGGGCCCCCCCACAGACACCATAGACGCAGCCGCAGCCGCAGCCGCAGCAGCAGCAGCAACAGAAGGAGCAGCAGCAGGGAGAGGGGGGCCCCCAGAGACAAGAGAGGAAGTGAAAGAGACAGGAGACACCGCAATTCCCCCAGTAGGGGCCCCCTAATCTGCTAAACCCTAAACCCTCATCAAACCCTAAACCCTAGCCTGCTTCTCGGCTGCTGCTGCTATTGCTGCTCCTGCTGCTGCTAGTGCTAGTGCAGGTGTTGCTGCTGCTTCTGCTGCTGCTGCGACAGCAGCTGCTGCTGCAGACGTACTTTGCTGGGCCTTTAGGGTTTAGATTTCAGGGTTTAGGGTTTAGGGTTTAGGGTTTAGGGTTTGCGTGTCAGGGAGGAGTGCATCCCCAGAAAGAAGGAGGCCCCCCGCCTCAGACCCCTTTGACTACGTCACACCAAAGCAGCGGAAGCTGCAGCAGCAGCAGCAGCAGCAGCAGCAGCAGCAGCAGCAGCAATTCAGGGGACGGGGCCTACCCCCCCCACACCCCAACTCAAGGTACAGGCGCTAGAAAGAAGCAGCAGCCCCTTCATGCTGCAGCAGCAGTAGCGCCAGCAGCAGCAGCAGCAGTAGCAGCAGCAGTAGCAGCAGCAGCAGAAGCAACAGCAGCAGCCTTCACGCAGGCAGAGTGTTTAGGGGCCCACTCTGTTCATAGCTGCATTGAGGGCGCAGCAGTTGTTAATAATAAATATAATAAATTATTATTATTATTATATTATATTATTATATAAATATATAATACTATTAATATTTATTTTTCTGCTTATCTCTTGTAGTTATACAGACATACGGGTCAGTATGAATGCTCGCAAATTAAAATTAAAAAAAACAATAGGGTTTAGGGTTTAGGGTTTAGGGTTTATGGGGGGCCCCCCCCTTATAGGGGCCCCCCGTTCTAGGGGCGTCTAAAGGGTTTATTAATTCAAAAGGCTTCTGCTACGTTCAACACTAACTTACTGTACCCTATGTGGGGGCCCATGCATAGGGGCCCCCTTGGGGCCCCTATTAAAAAGCCTATTCTTTAGGGGCCCCTGTTAACAAGGGCCCTCATTTAGGGGGCCCCCAGGGGCCCCTCTTAAGAAGGCCCCTATTGAGGGGGCCCCCAGAGGCCCCTATTAAGGGGCCCCCGTTGAGGGGGCCCCTGTTAAGGGGGCCCCTGTTTAAAAGGCGTCTGTATAGGGGCCCCCTAGGGGCCCCTGTTTAAGGGCCCCTGTTGTGGGGGCCCCTAAGGGCCCCTGTTAAGGGGCTCATAGGAAGAACAGCCCCTGTTTATAGGGCTCCTAGGGGCCCCCGTTGAGGGGGCCCCTAAGGATCCCTATTGAAGGGCCCCCTACAGGGGCCCCTCAACAAGGGCCCCCTACAGGGGCCCCCTTTTGAGGGGCCCCTGTTGCGGGGGCCCCTAGGGGCCCTATAAACAGTTGAAGTTCTATTTGTGTTTGTGTTGATGCATTAATTATTTGAGCTTTTTATTAAAAGTCTTTGAAGGGGTCTTCGTCTTCTTCTTCTTCTTCTTCTTCTTCATATTTTTCTTGCGGTGTCTCCTGAGGGTAAAATCAAAGAAATTCAAAAAAATTTAAATTCGCACACAAATGTACTCACTTTTGGGGTACTGTATATATATATATATTATATATATATATATATATATGTATGTATATATATATATATCTATATATGTATAAATGTATATATATATATATATATATACAA